AAAAAAAATTACTTGGCTCAGTTAACAATATGTTGCAAACAAACTGAAATGCTATTTGACAGTTTGCAATGCAATAGTAGAGGGAAAATAGGTAAACTGCGAGACTAACAATTTAAAGCAAATGTAGTTTCGGGCTTCATAGGCTATACAAGGCGTTATTGCTTCTGAAAGTTGAGCACTCTAGAAAAGGATAAATATATTAGGCCACTCTTCATTATTTTATATATTTCCTGTTGAAAAACTTGTTGTAGAACATGTCAAACAAGAATCTATTACATCACATGTATACCTATTTGAATAGATAAAATACCACATCCTGGATCGAATTGGAATTTAGAAAGGTTGCTTTGAGAGGGAATGATGGTGAAGAGGGAAAAAATGGAGTAACAATTCAAAGATAAATATTTCTTGGAATAAAGCAGAGAACTCACAACTATTTCAGTTATGACAAAGTTTGATTGAACTATCTTTTGAGCAATCGCTTGCACAATTTAATACACACGGCAATAATGCATGTGCAAATTTAGAGTAAAAATTATAGTTTTATAATGGAAGCGTGGATCGAGTGAAAAAATTGTTACTTCAATGCTACTGCTAACAGAGACAGTGATCTCTTTGCTAAGACCAAACACTGAACTCTGGCAAAATATAAATGTATCTATAATTTGTATGATGTGTTTTGGTCCAAAACAGTTGTTCAACAAATGTGTACCGTGCGGTCGAACACTCTCCTTCCGGGCTAGAATAAGCTGTTTGGAGCGTCTTCTATGCTGCCCTAATACTCAAATCCTAAGGTGAATACAAATTCGCTAACATTGTCTACAGATATCTTCTCGTCAAAGTGGGTGGCAGATGTTACGGAGATGCTTGCCTATTGTCTTGCATTTTGGACCAAAAGTGGGTGACTTCTTCCTGAGAAAGCTTTCGACGCGCGATCTTCCATGCACGTCTGCGTCACAGAGAGTCACATACGACAAAATGCTTTGCAGAATTATCACGAGCTTCAGTTTTAGAACCGAGTAATAGCGGACGGGCTTTGGCCTGTTTTCTGCAGCTCATTTCCAGCTTAAGTGAGCTTATATTAATGTAACTTGTACTTTTTATGCAGTTATAAACTCAATGAAAATATTCAAGCATGAAATAGAGGAAAATATGAACAAAAATGTTGGCCGTAGTAGCAGTTTAAGAGGAACATAAATTAAGATCTGGAAGATTTAAGGAGCATAGTTGAAAAACATATAGATCTATTTCTGCTAACGAATCAACAGTGGTTGCAATGAATAAAACGTCAGAAATATTACACAAGGTCTGAAGAACTTTATAGAGATAAGATGGTATATTCTTCTTTTGAGGTACATCCCACTAGGGATGTGGTCAAGAAAGTTAATATGAAAGGATTAACAAAGAGTAGTTTAAAAGAAAAATAAATGACAGAATTTTAGAATCTTTTACTCGTTAATGCAGTGGCGGGACAACTCTTTGTCGTCCGCTTTTGCCGTTTTGGTCCATATGGACCCATGCATATTATTTTTCCTGGACCCATTAAGATTTCCATTAAAGCTTAACCAATGGTAATTAGCAAAATAAGTAAGGATGGAGCTCGCTACTGGTACCTCATTTAGTAAATTTTGACCAGTCCTGACAGTTTCACTGAGAAAAAAAAAGCAACATTTGGGGAAAAAATCCACTTTCAATTTTGCTACTTACCTACTACTTTTTACAGATTTAATTTCTTCCTTTGTTGAAAAGAAAGCCAGGCAAAATTTCATGCTTAAGAAAGACGATGAATTGGGCAACAAGACTGCCTATAAAAAGAAACGCAAAGGGAAAAAGAAGAGAGTGAGAAAAAATTCCAAATAGATTCGCCAAAAGCAGAAATTTAGGTCCTGGGTGTTGGAAATCTCTTGTCTAGCTATTCCCATGCTAACTCGCCGAAAAAACGGTTCAAAAAGAAGGATTTGGTCCAAAAATCGGTTTTTCCCTATAAACAAATTGGCTGACGACAAAGCGTTAAGAAAGATTGACCAGGCAGACCGGAGATCCGCTGGCTGCAACACGTGAACGGGAAGGTTTTGGGAGTTTGTTTATTGCCACCTTAAGGTGTTTCGATACAGTTGTTTTTCAATCGTCTTAAAAGTGATTTATCCTTGTCCGATCGCTACAAACGTTTCACCAGTGATTCACTATGAATTGAAGTTTGTCAAAATGCAGTTTTAAATAAAATCGATTTCACAATGACAACAATAAAAAAAACTTTGAAATCGATAAAATCCGAATTTTGCGCGATCTAGACTTGCTACTTAAAATCAGACACCAGGAACTTAAAACGTGGTGTTTAGCAAACAACCTCCGTGAGAAGTAAAAAATTCTGTATGTTTGAATTAAAAAAAACGAAAATATATTTCAAACCTTACATTCTGGTGACTTTTCCAGATGCTCTACCACACTGGAGACTCGTAAGAGTTAAAAACATTAGACCGGGTTCATTTAGGAGCCTGGTTTATTTGAAGAGGTTCTTTCAGGCCAGAGGTCCACCTCTAAATTGTACGTTTTGGAAGGATTAAGTGTGAGGAAAGGGGACAGGGGTTTCAAACCTCCCGCCTTCGGTACCTTGCATATCCGGCTTCCTCCCCTTTTTTTCTTGACTCCGTCTCTTTAGCCTTTTTTCGATTGCGAAATATTATGCATTGTTGAGTAATTTCCCCGTATTTGTTTT